GTATTCTGGTTCTTCCATCTCTGCGACGGTTCGCACTTGGTCGAGGTCGCCCTTGAAGACGGCGGAGTCGGGAACGTCCTTGGCCGACTTGGAGAGTTGTAGTAGCACGACTCCGGAACAAATCTGCAAGAAGCCCATGATGACGGTGACGATCTGAAGCGGTGTGCCTTTGAAACCCTGGAAGAGGACGGCCGAGGTGACGATAGTCGCAGAAGTGAAGAAGACGTAGTAGGTTGGTGTTACCAAAGCAGCATTGAACAGATTCAAGGCTTTCTGGGCAAAGCTTAGCATACTCCACATGGCCAAGAAAGAATGAGGGACTTACGTTGAGGTAGATGATCTCCGTCAGCAATGTGACAACCACAAAGACGAGCAGCACGTAGAGGAACCATTCCTTAAACTGTCCGCCGTATGTGCCAGAAGCCTGCGCTACTACAGCAGCACCGAGACCTTGGGTTGCGACAACACTCAGTCCTCCGATCAGACTGCAGATGGTGATGTAGACCATCATGGTCTTCTTTCCGTACTTTGGGCCGAGCCAGAGAGCAATGACAACACATGCGACGATGACGACACCTGCATAGCTGAGGAAGCCGGGCGCAATGACCCATTTCTTCATGTCTTGAATACGCGCGACAGACGACTGCTCTGGCGCGTTTACTGCAATGACAACAGATCCGATGATGCAGTTGAAGCAGCCCACCTTTCCAACAAAGCTCAAGCGTTCCTTCAAGAATATAGTCGACAGTATAGCGCAGATAACGACGGAGAGGGCGCCCATGGGGGTTACGAGGATAGCGTCGGTGAAAGCGTATGCGACAAGATTACTGCCAGGTATTAGTAGGATGTACGGACGTGATGCCTCGCAGTCTGTACCATATCTCTCCAACAATCATGAGTGTCATGCCGAGCCACCACCAGGCGTTCTTGAGGTATCCGTAGCCTTCTCCCGCCTCTTCATTGTACTTCTTGTTCGCCTGTAACAGACCATGCTTCTTAATAACAAACGACGTGCCGATGAAGACTCCCGATGCAATCGCCAGGACGAGACCAATGATTTTGTACGAGCCTGGACGGGTTCCAGTGTCGCCGCCCATCCCACCAGCGCGGGCATCCAGCTGGGCGGCGGCGTGGAGGACGTGTGCTGTTGCGTCCATAGTTTGGTTGGGTCGCAGCGTGTGCTACCAAGTGCTAGGGCACCGGCGACTCGACCTGGGGGTGTAATTGATTTTGAGGCTGTTTTACCGCGGAAGCATGGATAAAACTGTTGGCGACTTCAATGCCGTGTGTGAAGGTGAACGAGGCTGCACGTGGAGGAACGCTGGATCGCGGAGGCAGGCACACTTTGGGAAGTCTGTTTGGACAGGGTCCAGGGCGCCACGGAGATGAGAGAGGAAGGCGCGGAGCGGTCGCAGAGGAAGTCGCAAAAATCGGAGAGGAAGGCGCGAGTGGTAGGGGCTTTCTGTTGGTGAAGTACGAGGAAGGCGCAGTCTTCGGTGCAGATGCGGGCCGTTGGTGCGTAATCGTGGTGCGTACAGCTGAAGGGTCTAGATGCGTAGGTGATTGGTGCGCGGGTCGTCGTGGTGTTTACACGGCTGTTGGGGGCTAAAGCGTGGCGCAGAGGGGCTGCCAAACGCTGTTATACAAAAAGTTGCGGCGGAGATTGCTTGAGTAAACAGAGACTTGCGACAGCAGAGGCCGTCCCGCCGCCGTCAACATGTAATCTTGCTGCAGGGGCAACGGCGCATGGATCGTGGGTGTCCGGGGGGCTCTGAGACGTCACCGGCCAAGAGATCGGCGCCCGCCCACCAACGCTTGACAGCTGCCGCGCCAGAAATAGATGATCAACACTCGCCAGCCAGTACGCGACGTCTGATATTCCTCACAGCTGCACCTCCAGCGGCATGATTTGCAGTGTTCGAATATGGCAGTTGAAATCGACGACCACCAGGACATCTTCGCCGCCGCCAGCGTGGCTCAGATCCATGAGGCCCTCGGCCAATTGCATGAGCAGGAGGCCAGCGTTACCCAGCGCCTAAACGCCCTCATCGCCTCGCAGAAGGATCTCTCGCGCGAACTCGGTCGCCTCGATCTGCTCCGCGCCCACCTCGGCACCCAAGCGGTCAATACGCGAGCCATTAGCAGTGGCATGCTCTCCGACGCCGCCTCGACTGCGAACCGAATCTCCAGCGCCGTCAAGCGATTAGACCAGGAACAGTCCAATGTCAAGGCCACACTCGAGGTGGTGGAGCAGGTGGCGGAACTCAAGGCATGCGTGCTGGGCGTACATGGGTCTATGGGAGCTCCCCAGGACTGGGAGACGGCAGCGGGCTATCTCAGTCGCGCCGCCAAGATACCCGACGACGTCGTGAATGGCAGCTTCGCAGAGGAGATTGTACCTACGGCCGAGGTGCCTGACCCGCCGCGCGTGACGCTAGATGCAGCAGCAGAGTCGCTATGTGGTCTCTTCCTGCGCGAGTTCGAAAAGGCAGCGCAAGAAGGGGACGGCTCCAAGGTGACGAGATTCTTCAAGCTGTTTCCCCTGATCGGGCGGACAAATGTAGGACTGGATGCATATGGCCGCTATGTCTGCCAGGGAGTAGCTTCACGCGCGCGCACAAACTTCAACTCGGCCGCGCCTGCCCAGAGGAATGAGGGCTTCTTCTACGGCAACACCATCACAAAGCTGTTCGAGCACATTGCCCAGATTGTCGACGGTCATGAGCCACTAGTAGAGCGCCACTACGGACCAGGCATGATGCAGAAAGTCATTGAACGTTTGCAGATTGAGGCTGATGTTCAAGGTGGTATTGTGCTTGACACATGGCATGAGGAACGCCACATTGACCGCAAGCTTACCGATATCAAATCATATGCCTTTTCATTCCTTGTCCAGAGCTTTCTTCCCTCACAAAAACCTGCATCCGGAACACCTCGCTCTAGCTCGCCTGCCAACGGTGCTGGTCGAGCAAGCGAGGATGAGGGAGTGGACATGAAAGAGATTGACGGTTTGCTTGGAGAGGGCGCGCTGATTCTGGGACGCTATGCCTTGTATGCGCGGTTCCTCTCAGACAAGTGTGCAGTAAGTGATACATATACGCCTTCGCGATCAATAACTTACCCTTGCAGCCCTCCGAACCTGAAGACCGCATCGACTACGGTTTGGTGATGCCCAACTTCCTTGCGACCAGTAACCTCCACAAGAAAGTCAACAGCCATCTCATCGAGCCCGTTAATGCAATGACAACCTTCTTCTTCCGACGATCGGTGGAGAAAGCTTTCCAGTTGGACGAACCACCAGCAGATCTCACACTGAACCCTACCAAGCCTCTTGGATCTAACCCACCCTTCATTACTTCTGCTGTGGACGATGTCATGTACATTGTCAATCAGGTCATTCAGCGGACACTAGCAACCTCGCAACGTGCTGTCGTCTCTAGCGTCGTGCCTGCGGTCAGCCACATTCTAGGCGCTGAGTTCATTGGCATGATACAACGGAAGATGCGCGACGAAAGCTACCCCAAACCTGTCATTCAGGGCGGTCTTCCGCCAGAGGATAAGGTCATTGCGTTCCTGGTACTCATCAACAATCTCGACATCGCGAACGACTACGTCAAGCGCATAGTCCAGCAGCAACTGGGCCGTCAATCACAAGGCGGCGAAGACGACGTGAAGTCGCCACTACACGACCTCTTCCCATTCGGACATGACGCGGTCTTCGTGGAGAACACGTTGAAAGCAATGGAGAAAGCCTTTGCATCCAAGAGCGGAGATTTGCTCAACGACGGCATCACCGTACTGTTCTCCAACGTTCTAAAGCCTCGCATTCGACCCATCCTGGCTGAAGCATTCCGAGACGTCAAATACGATCCCGAGGATGGCGAGAACGAAGATGAAGAGGAGGAGGACGTCGATGTGGTAAAGTCGCGTTTTGATCGCGGCTGGGGAGTCGTGATCCGTCCCATCAAGCGCATCTTGACCTCAGCGAACTTCGACCGACTGCTCGCTCTAGGTCTGAACTCGCTTGCGTCGTCACTTGAGAAGCGCATCAAGAGCTACTACGGCAGAGTAAATGAGTTGGGTGCTGTTAGACTCGAGCGCGACATCTCTGGCATCATCACAGCGGCTACAAGTGGCGGCGCCTACTCACTCCGCGACGTTTTCCAAAAGAGTACGCAAATGACTCTGATCCTGAACATGGAAGACGATGAGTTTGCAGAAGTAGCGGAAGATACATCAGGCGACTCGGGCATTCCCTGGGTGCTGGACGTTGAAGAGAGGAAGCGAGTAAGAGCCATCGTCAAGGGCTGATCAGATGGTGCCTGGAATTGTCCTTCCGGAGCGGGGTTCATAGACGGAGGAGCATCCTTGGCACGCAATCTATACAAATGAACGACTGTCACCCGCCTCGGTAGTGGTTTATTGTCCGCAAATGATTTCTTGTATCTCCTCGTATCGTGACTGCTCATGGCACCTTATTAGTACCACGCTGCGATCCGTTGCAACCGAGTGACATGTGGCTCGTGCCGGCTTGGCTGAACTCTCACACCTCTGACGGGGAACATCGCACACGCTCAACTCCATCTTAACCCATCGGCGATATCCTCTAATCGCTATTTCATTTTCGCATCGAATCGCACGACATTATTACGTTGCCAGGCGACTATCGGCCCGTCGCGCACGCCACGATGAGGCTGTCACCCGCAAAGATCCTTATCCCTTGCATCTCGCTTCTCCTGCCATCCCTGTCTTCGGCCCAATGTCCGCTCTACCAGACTTACGCTGCGCAATACCACGAACCCTTCACGCAAGGGACGTGGAATTTGAGTTATGCTAGACCGATTGTGCCGTGTCGGACGTATCGGTCGGAAGAGGTGGAGAAGACGATTGAACGGTTACGCGGTGTTATTAAGGATCCGGATCTCTTTCGTGTACGCGACTTCGCCACTGCAGTGTCGTAGAGATGGTGTGTTGATGTGATGACAGATATTCGAGAATACATGGCCGAGTACTTTGGATACGACTATTGCATGGCGAGGATGGTCAAATACGACTAGCGACCCGGACTCGTTGGAAGGACCTCTGATGAGCATGAAGCCTGAAGAACTGACTTTTGTCATCACCGGGGATATTGAGGCAATGTGGCTGCGCGACTCTGCAAACCAACTCCAAGCATACATCTCGGTTTTGAAACAAGATGACAGCCATGACAGCTTGGCTGGTCTATTCCGCGGAGCTATAAATCTACAAGCACGCTACATTCTCGAAAACGCATTTTGCAACGCCTTCCAAGCACCGGATGAGAGCGGTGTTGAACACAAGAGCAGCATGAACAGCGATCGCATCACCCCGTCATTTGACTACTACAAAGTCTTCTCCTGCCAATGGGAACTGGACTCCTTGGCCTCTTTTCTGCAGCTCTCCGTCGACTACGTAACCGCCACAAAAGACTACGACTTCTTCGAGAAGAGCAGCAACTGGACCAAAGCCGTTGAACAAGTTTTGAACACGACAGAGAGCATGACGATAGATTCCTACACCGAGGACGGAGAATGGCAACACACGCCATACACATACTGCGCTCCCTACGGCGGCACCCCAATCAACAACTGCAACGGCAGTCCGCACAAAGGCAACATCGGCCTCATACGCTCATTCCACCGCCCCAGCGACGACGCATGTACATACCAATACCTCATCCCCTCCAACATGATGTTCTCCTCCGCCCTCAACACCTCCTCAACCATAATGTCGCGCATCACCTCCCGCGAGAACCCGCTAGCCGCACGCATGCAAACCCTCAGCACAGCGATCAACCGGGGCGTGGAGAAGTACGGTATTGTTAACGACCCCAACTTCGGCAAGGTGTACGCGTATGAAGTCGACGGGTACGGCTCGGTGAATATCATGGATGATCCTAATGTGCCTTCGTTGCTTTCGGCGCCGTTTTTGGGGTACACGACGCTGCGCGATCCCATATACCAGAACACGCGTCGGAAGATCTTGTCGAGGGATAATCCGTACTATGCTGTTGGACCCGTGATCACTGGTGTGGCGAGTCCGCATACCTTGCCCGGACGACCGTGGCCCATGGCGCTTATCATGACTATCCTGACCAGTGAGGATGACGATGAGATCGTTCGGAATTTGATGTGGTTGGTGCAGAGTACGGATGGGCTGGGGCTTATGCATGAGAGTGTTCATGCGAGGGATAAGGGCGTGTGGAGTCGGCAGTGGTTTAGTTGGGCGAATGGACTGTTTGGGCAGATGGTATTGGATTTGGAGAAAAGGAAGCCGTGGGTTTTGGGTATGAGTTTTCAATAGCGGCTGTAGATGATCCCCATCATAGGTAGCTTTGTTGGAAGTAGCATCAAAGTGTGTATGCCTTTTCACAGATATCTTTCAGTGACTGAGTACTAGGATATATACATTGAGTTTAAAATCTTTGACCTTTGCTAGAATAACGTATTAATATGTCGACATAAAGATTAGGAAGCTTGATGTTTAACAGCATTCATGACCACGATGTCTACATAGGCTTAAAGAAACTTAGTTCTTTACTGTCGTCAGTATGTGTGAGGAATGCGATAGCCCTTGTGGAAACGGAGTGCAACCTGACAAACAATACGAAGAGCCATGCGCACGTAGGCTGGCGCCTTTTCCGTAGCCCTAGACTACGGCGACGGTACCAGGGCGACAATCAGTGCTCCAGGCAATGAGTATGGCTGCCCTGTGCTGCTTGCGATTCCCGACACCGTAGTCTTGCTCCATGATAAATCGGAAGATGAAAGCAAGCTCAGGATCGGAGAGGTTGTTCTTGACGCATGACGCTGAACCAAACTCGTAACTTACAGCGAGAAAATGATTATGACGGCTGATTTCCTCGTACCACTTCTGCTAGATGGTGTTGAAGTCCGGCAACAAGGTAGAAGCCTACCAATACAGACCATGCTTGAGCTGCCACATACCACTAGCTTTGATCTTCTCGCTTACATGGCCAGTGCTGAGATCGGCCATTGCACCGGGAAACTCCTTTGTGCGGGGGATGAGAGTCGCAGAGTCCCAGACGTTTTCGGTCTCGGACGATTGGTCGGGGTAGACAGCCTCGACATGCTCTTCGAAGGCGGTACGGGCGCGAGTGCGTCTTGCTTCTGATCAAATTAGCATATGAAGCTCTTCGAACTAGCTGGAGCTGTGAAAGGGACATGTTCTTCAAGGGAGATTAACTGGTCAATGGAGCTGATGGGTCGAGTCACTTGTAGACGTCAAACCTATCTATAATTTTATAAGTCTCCTGAGTAGAAGCAAATGTATTCCTACACGCTATCTAGCCAATGCGCAATTTCTTCCTGTAGCAGCTATGTCAGATTCTTGGCTATCTCCGAGATCAAATTTTCGGGCAAAAATGATGCCGCCACGTCGATCCACCTCACAGCGAGACCGTCGGGACAGCAAAAAGACAGCTGGATGATTCAAGCGAGGCTCGAACTCGCGACCTTTCGCGCGTACAACAGAGACGAGACTGTGAGGCGAACGTGATAACCAACTACACCATCGAACCAACTTTGATGCCAGATTGGAAAAAAAATTGCAATATATTTTGCGAAATCACGAAGGAGCGAGCTCGAAAGACGAGGGTGGGGTTGAGTGCGGGGCAAAGGAGCTGTCGTGGCATCGGTACGCATCTCCACTGAGAACTTCCACCAAATCAAGTTGGGCGTAAGTTGCTTGCTGACTTTCGCTGACACGATGCACCGCTTGTAACCGCATGGAGCTGGTGGTAAAGTCGAGTGCCCAACATGGCATCGGAGGTCTGATGAAGGGCGTTGCTTACTCCTACACCTATTAGTACAGCCTTTAGTAAGGTCTCTCTTACCGACAGCTCCTCTCTCGGTCTTCCACATTTCCTGGATCTGTTTCTGGTCCGCAATGTCGACCCTCAAAGAGCAGCTACCATGGACGTTGTCACCGCTCATCGTCAACGCGCCCATGGCAGGCTTTGCAGGCGGTAAGCTCGCGTCAGCTGTAACACTGACTGGCGGCCTCGGTATGATCGGAAGTCTTCGCAGTATGGACGACTTGCGGAAAGAGTTGGATATCGCGACCGACGCTTTCAAGGACAGTCCCGAATTATCGGCGTCGCGTGTTCTCCCAGTTGGCGTCGGCTTCCTTCCCTTTGTGCTCAAACTCGAAGACATTCTTCCGGTGTTCGATGGCTACAAGCCCGCGGTCATCTGGTTTTTCGTGCCGAAAGATCTGGACGACTACGCGGAATGGGTACCAGCGATACGCAAGGCTTCACCGGAGAGCAAGATTTGGATCCAGCTCGGCAGCGTCGCGGCAGCTCTTCACGTTGTGAGGATAGCGCGGCCTGACGTGCTGTGTCTCCAAGGCGCGGATGCTGGTGGTCACGGCTTCGAGAAGAGCGCAAGCGTCGTCTCGCTACTACCGGAGGTGGCCGACGCGCTTGCTGCGGAAGGCTTTTCACGTATACCCCTCGTTGCCTCAGGTGGTGTCGTCGACGGACGCGGCGTCGCTGCAGCACTCACCCTCGGTGCCGAAGGCGTCGTGATGGGAACGCGTTTCCTCGCGTCTAAAGAGGTGAACGTCCATCCGGTGTACCAAGCCGCAGTTCTGGAGGCGCAAGACGGCGGTCAGGTGACGACGCGTTCGAAGCTTTTTGATCAGTTGCGCGGTCCCAACATCTGGCCGGAGCTGTATGATGGGCGCGGGTTGGTAGCACAGAGCCACAAGGATTTCGCGAACGGCGTGAGCCTGGAAGAGATACAGAAGCTGCACAATGAGGCCGCTGCGGGTGAAGACAAAGGATACAACACGGGCTTGCAAGGGCGTGCAGCAATCTGGGCGGGTACTGGTGTGGGCTTGGTGAAGGAAGTGCAAAGCGCGGGCGAGATTGTGCAGGAGGTGCGGGAAGGTGCGAAAGACGTTATGGTTAGGGCCGCAGCGAGACTGAAGTGAGTAATAATATTGTTTACGTTGCATCATGCCAAGAAAGTGAAAGTGAACGCGACTTTACGGCAGGAAGGAGCGTTGTTGACCACGGGAAGCCATGACGTCACGTGTTTAGGCGCAAACTTTGGGATCTTGAAACTGCCCAGGTGAAGGGGAAGCAGACATTCATTTTGATGCGTTGCAAGAGCGTCGTATCAGTTCTGCCACTGGTCATCGCGTCGACTCGTCTCCTTGCTCAGCTGGTCATGTTATTTCTTCTTTCCTAGATTGCGGCGTCGCACCTCCCTACACGTAGTAGATTAAATACCCAACCCCTGGCGCATCCTGTTCATCCAGCACCTCTGCTCACTTCAAAACTGACAAAGCTTTCTCATCCCTCTCCACCATGTCAACTTCTAAGGATATCCCAACGTTCGATAGCCTCCGCTCTTCTAGCACCATCGTTCTGTCCTCTATGGACATGCTGCGAGTGCGCTTGTCGCTCTTTGGGTCTTTGGAGTCTTCAGTCGAAGTTGCGGACACTCACGACCCAGACTCTAAATGTGAACCATACACTACCGACGGTCATTCCTTTCACAAGATCTCCACCTCGCCCGCAACGGAACCACCGGTCTCGTCGATCAGCAGCATACACATAGACGATCTAGACACATGGGGATACAGATGGGAAGGAGAGCATCGGTGGGATAACGAGGACAATCAAGAGTGGGTCGAAACCGAGAACGATGAGGATCGGGCGCTTTTGCGCTGCTGCGGCATGGCTTGCCCACCGCCTCCACCGTCCCTCGAGGTGCTGCCTACTACGCATTCCTTCGTTACCGTGCACGATTACATCACTCAAGTCCATGCTTGGATCCAAGCTCTCAAACCAAGCATTCTGGAGGCCCTGTGCGAGTCGCGCTCTCCTTCATCGAGGTTTTACATCAGCTTGATGTCCCTGAAAGTATTGATTTATGAGGAGGACTTTCGGGCGGACAGTCTGTGGAAATCAGTTGAGCAACATGTACGACGACGCAGAGACGGCACGATGTTTTCTCGAGTACACTATAACAACACACTAGCTGCAAGCCGATAGTACTCACATTCTCGGTGCCCAGTATCCAGTCTCAGATCTAGGAAAATGCATATCTACGCGGATTGCAGCAGTCTCCTCTACTTTCGCGTAAGCTCTGTTGATAATTCCATCAAACTAGCTTAAAAGTCTGTCGTTCTAATCTACTCATCTCATGCACGAACCGGCCTTTCCACTTCTTCCGTCTCTGTTTCTTCTTTTCGTCCAGCTGGGCAAATTTACTGTCCCGCTGGTCCGATGATCTTTTACCTTCATCGAGTGTCTCTATCTGGATTTTGCGACTCACGTCAAGGAATTCCTCCAACAACCCAAGCCTACCTACTCCAACTCTTCTGTATACACCAGGACTTTCCATCGCCACTATCAATGCGTTGTAGCCCTGCGTATGTCCCTCGCCAAATTTTGGTGCAGTCAGCGGTATAGCGAGAACCGGAGGAAGTAGGGTATTGTGGGGGCTGCCAACTTGGTCGCGGGCCTGTTCTGCCTTATCTAGGTCATGATCATCCCAAAAATTAGCCACTAACGCTGTGACACGATCAGAAACTCCTTCTACGCCCTTCCAATAATTCTTAAGCTCTTGGCAGTGGTTTTTGTACAGCCTGATAATGGGTGCCCGAAGTACAAGCGCAGCTTCAACAATGTCGCCAAGAAGTGGGGGGCCTCGCGTGTTGTAGGTGATTTGAATGACTTCTGTACACGGAACGTACTGCCAGGAGCCTCGCTCAGGTGTTAACCAATACACGGGACGTTTAGCCGACGCCCATGACCAGCTTGGTATGATTCCTGGTTCAATTGGATAAGGCGATTCGAAATCGGGACCATGTCTAGAGCAGTACCACAGAAGATCGAATAGTAACGTGTCCTCCCACAGTCCAGCTACATATCTCTTTCCTGGGCTCATGGCTTGAACTTGGCTCGCGAATGCTGCTATCGCGGGAAACTTGTCCTTTTCAAATGTGAGATTCCGCCAGGAATAGCCTCCTACTATCCGGTACCATAGTGTTTGTAAAGAGCTATCATATCTCGACATGTTGACTGCAATGTGTTCTGGCAAAGCGAGGGTTCCCTTTGGCTCGCCCTCGCTGACTGTTACTTCTCGACAAGACCACGTGACTTCTTGGGCGCCGAAATGAAGCACCCGTCGTGATAGATTGAGTTCTTGGAATGTCCATCCGCGCTTGTACAATGCTTCTCCACCTTTCATTTGTTTGAGCCAATTTGACTGGCTAGCATACCGCCCTGGTGGATCAAGCTGCTGTCGAACGTGTGCCCAGGGATG